TTATTTTTTTATTTAATAATTAATATTATACAATTTAAAATAATTCAAATTATAAAACATTTTTTAAAAAATTTATTTAGAAGTAACTTTAAAAAATAAGTTGTGTCAAACAGTTCTAACAACATTAACCTCTTTTCTCTCTCTCTTGCTTTAAAAATGCACGAGCCACTTGAAATCAAGTAATAGCTTGAAACTAAAATCGTTGGCGACCCAGTGAAATCAAGTAATAGCTTGAAACTCGTTAAAATCGTTGGTGACCCAGTGGCAATACTTTAGTAGTGGGGAACCTTAATTTTGGTTTTAAGTTCATTCACTAACATTAATTTTTCGCTCCTTCAATCTGGTGGTATAATGCAATTACCCTATTAAAAATAAAAATAACAGCTTGAACCTCCCTTGAGGTTTTCAATTATGTTTCATATTGGCTAGTATCGACTACTATGTACTGATTTTATACTTAATTTGATATAGTATAAGATCAGATTTTGTTTCAATCCACTATTAAAATTCTTAATTTTAGCAAGCAATAATCAGCAATGTAACTTGATTTGTTGGCGAAAGTATAATTTATCGACGTGAGTTACATTACTAATTATTGAAACATTACCACCTTTCAAATCCAGTGGGCCTTATAATTAGCAACATATTTTTGGTTGCTAAAACATACATTAGTAATTTGTTATACCTTACTAAAAATTTTAGGGTTGGCTGAGGATTTAGCAACATCTAACATGTTATTGATTTTGTATATTACTGTTTAACTTTGAGCTTCAGCCACCTAACTTTCAACTTCATATTATTATATATACCCTTTTCATTTGCTGCATCATTATATATATATATATATATATATATCTCTCTCTTGCTTTGTGATCTTTGCTATTAGTTTTTGCTCTCCCAATTAAATTTGTATCTTTCACTTCTCACGCAATTATTTTCTTTATTTTTATTTACAATTAATTATTTTTGTAAATTACTCAACTCTTTTTTTTATTGCTCTATTAATAAATATTTTTCTAATCTATCTATAATAACCTTTTGTTATTGCATATAATATTTGCTAAATAGACAGTCAAGGATATTTTGATAGCCAATACGATATTATATATTGTTTTATTGTTTACTTTCTCTTATTTCTCAACTCATGTTCCTATGTACCATTTACTAATGTATTACTTAATTGTATGGAATTTTATATAGGGATAATTGATGATACTCCTAAATTATTATGGAATAGCCCATCTTGTAGTCCTCCTAAGAGGAAGTTGAAAAAACCAAGGAACCATGTATCAATGGGCCAACACATTCCATTGCCTAACATTATAGACTCCTTTGTCTGTCAAATATATGACATTCGTGGACATTTAGCTACTATGTGTCTACATCGATATGTAGTAACTTTTCAATTATGTAATCGTGAGGGTTATATTGTAAAAATTTGCCTAGATCGTTGGCGATCACCATTCATGTCAAACCCATCAAAAACTCTTGATGAGTCATCTGAAAATATTATAAAATTTTTTGGTAATGGTTGTTGGAGACTTACATATAAAAAAAAAAGTCTTGGGATTACGCGCTTGAAACATTACATTCCATTTAAGAACCATAGTATCTATGCTTTAATCAATTGTATTCTTCAATATAATATAAATTTTCTCCTATTTTCCTTTTTGCATCAATTTGGTTTTCAAACAAAGATTCGAATCTTGGAAGTGAGAATTGAATATTTATCATTAAGAGTCAATTCTTCCAATGGAGAGTTGACTATGCCCGACACCAAAAGCTTTCTTAGCTAGCTGGAATTTGGGAGTCGAATCTTGACCTCCTGGGGTCGACTCTTAATGCCTCAAGAGTCAAATATATCTTCATAGATTTGACTCTTCATAGGAATGCACCTATTTGCCCATATTTTGCTCCATGGTCGAATTTGCAAGAAAGCATTGAATCTTATTACTTCAAGAGTCAAATATAGAGGTTTATATTCGAGTATTCAACCTAGTTCAACAGTTTACTAGATTTTTTCTTGCTCAACTCTTCAAATTTTAAATTGCACACTTACACTAAAATTGATGAAACATCTTAAGAAGTTTCGTCATCATAAAAAATAGTTAGAGTTCAACAATCTCTCACTTTTGACAATTATGAAAACATTTTGTAAATATATTGCTAAATGTTGACTCAATGTACTCCAAGAGGGGGGGTGAATTGGAGTTCCTAAAATTCTCCCCTTTTTCAACCACAAAACCCAAATTAAAGAGAGTAGAGAAGAAGAGCTTGCACAATGAATTTATAGAAGTTCGGTCCAACCACTTGGAGCCTAGTCCTCTACCTTGGCTTCACTCACCAAGGATTTCCTCCACACTCTTCACTAAGAAAGACAAGGGTGGCTTAAAGGAGCCACTCAACCCTTTTACAACAAGATGAGTATTTCTCTCAAACCTCACCCCTTTACAATGTAAACCCCACAAATCCTCTCAATAGATCACTCTTGAAGGAATCAACACAACCCCAAGATCACTCACTAATAGCACAAGAAGAGGATTACAAGCAATGATCACTCAAAGATCAAAAACTCAAGTTTAAGCTCAAGTAGGTAGGTAAAGATATGCAATACAATGCTCTCTAAACTTCTTCACATATGTTACCAACCATATTTATAGCCCCTTGCTCGAAAATAGCCGTTTCTAGCCGTTGGGGGTCATTAAATGCCCTGCAGGACGCGAAGCTCGAGTTGTAGGATTGTCAGGAGAGCCGACTTAGCTTTCTAGAGCCGACTCTGAAGAGCCGGCTTACACTTTCAGAGCCGGCTATCCGGGTTTACAAGCCATTCTATTTTTCTTGAGAGCCGGCTGCAAGACTTTGAGTCGGCTTTGGAACTCCGACTTTAAATTCATTAAAAAATCTTCAAATGAGTCGACCGTTGTGCATTAAATACACCCTCACAGCCGGCTTCAAAGCCAAAGCCGGCTTTGCGTCTTTTCTCCGCGCGCGCCAAAGAACAGTCTTCAAATTTTTGCCTATAGAGCCGGCTGCAGCTTCCAGAGCCGGCTCTCTACACTTCCATTTCACCAGAGCCGGCTGCAGCTTTCAAGAGTCGGCTCTTTGCACACTTTGAATTCTTTTGGTCTATTTTTAGTGCAATCCAAGTTTACTTGCAATCTTTTAGCAACTTAACTACACACTTAAATAAACCAATTAGTCACTCAAATGTGTTTTGTAATGATCAAAATCATAGGTACAACACTAAAATCATATATGCTCTCTTAAGTTTCTCCTTATATTGCTTGAAAAGCTTAAGCATCAAATACTAGGTATTTTAAACTTCCAAATACCATGCATTTTAAACTTTCTAGCACCTTGTTCATAAATAGAGTCAGGTTTCAAGGCAAGCAAGCATGAGAACATAATCCAAGCAAAAAAATTTTAACACATATACAATCCACAAATAACATTAAAGCATAAAATTCAGCAATTTTCTCCCCCTTTTTGTCTATCATCAAAAGGCACGTATGCATACCCAAATAAGCTTCCTATTAACACATGTATATCAATCTTTACATCACCATAAATATGCAAGTCAAGCTCATTATCAACTAACATATTGCTCCCCATTGATGGAAGCACTTATGAACATAATCAACCAATAGAAAATCATCAAAATCATAAGAGAGATGTGCATAATATTCAAATTTACTTTATATAATGTCAACAATATATATACATATACATATACACAAAAAACCCATTGAAACAATGTTTGACTACAAAAACATATATTGAAATAGATAGAAACTATTGAAACATGAGGTTTTAGGCTTTGAGCATGGAAGAAGGTTCAGCAGGTGGCTGCCCGGATGAAGTGCCAACAGTAGATGGATTTGTCATGGTGGCTAGATGAGTTGAAGGTGCTGTCATCCGATACTTTTGAATGTGCTCATCAAGCTTCTTCTCAATCTGTGCAAGTCTCTCGAGAATGAAATGATTTCCTTTGTTCATGCTGATTTGCGAAAGAACCCAAGATGAACCATCTTGTGAGGTACCTACTTGTTCAATTTCTTCCACATTTTGTCTTCATCAAACCCCTCACCTTCATCATATTGTCCTCCTTTTTTTTTCCTACTTCATTTCCCAAGACTTTGTTTTTGATCTAAATACATAACCCATTTTGTTTAGGGAAGTGTTGTTCAGAAGCTCATGGCTAGATAGGTTTGGGACTTCACAATACTCAAATCCACACCTATATTTTTCATAAGTAATATGATGAAAGTTTCATACACAAATGTGAGTATCAATCTTGATCTAAAGTACACCATATGCCTCATCATATGCACACCCAATTTGATTTGTCTCTGAGAAAGAATATAGGCACACCATACATATTTTGGACCACTAAATTTCCCAAATGACCCTTGCCTTGGTAGAATAATGTGACTATATATCCAAAACATTATCTTATGCTCAAAATTCAAGTGGTGAATAGTTAAAGTTCTTGCCACAATCCAATTATCCTCCATGATAAATTTCGTCATTGATTCCTCTGTAAAGTTACCTAATTCCCAAGCTCCCTCATTTGGCAAATGCACAACATAATTGATTGTTTTAGCATCCATTCAATATTTTTCTTTAGAATAGTGGTTTTATAAACCCCATCCTCCAAAGCAATCAAATTTGCATAAAACATCTTGCTCAATTGTGGGTAAACCTTGACTTTTCTAATTACTAATTTTGTCCATCCCATTCCATCTAGCATTTCTTTTATATGCAGCCCTCATTTACCTATATCATTTGAAACCACTCTAAACCCATAAATGACATTTTTATTTTCTAAAGTTTTATATGCTTCTTTAGCATTTCTAGAAACAAAGTTTCAAGGGTTATCAGGTTGAAATACCTGCTCATTTATGCCTTCACTACTTTCTTCAAGATTTTCTTCAACATTTCAATGCCTTTATAAATGTGGTTAAGGCAAGATTCCTTTGTCTTCTTGTCAGGCTTTTTCTCGTCACCATTTGCAAAAATAAGGCAAGAATCTAAGGAGTCGCCATAGATGTGGGTTTGTCTTTGGGTGAGTTAATTTGGTGAGATATGGGCAATTATGGATGGGTTTAGGGTTAGGGATTTTGGAAAGTCGAATAGGAGAGAGAGGAAAAATGGGGGATAATCTGAACCACAAGGTTTATATTCAAAACCTATGTCAAAGAGTCAACTCTCGTTTTTTAGAGTCGATTCTTTAAAGCTAGAGAACCGACTCTTGTAATAAAGGCTTAAATCTACAACTGAGATTTCTTATGTCCAGATGTACACTTACAGAGTTGAATATTATACTAAGACTCGAATCTTAAGAATCAAGAGTCGATTCTTCAAACAGAGAGTTGACTAAGCCTTGAACCAAAAGCTTCTTCACTCTCTGGAATTTGGGAGTCGAATCTTGACATTCAATAGTCAAAGTTGGATACCTCAAGAGTCGAATATAGAATCATAGGTTCGACTCTTCACTGGAATGTACATATTCTCCATATGTTTCTCGTCAGAGTTGAATTTGCATGTAGTTGTTGAATCCTTTTGTGTTGATATTGGAATCTAGAATCCTATATTTGACTTGTTAACTTTGTTATGTAGTTTTTCACCTTTTTCTTTGATCAACTATAGGAATTTTTAGTTGCATACTTAAACTCAAATTTATTAATCATCTTAAGTAATTTTTGTTATCATTAAAATCACTTGGAATTCAATACTTATTTCTCTCTTAGTAGATTAATGTTAATTATTTACATTTGTTATAACTAAAAATAGTATTATTTATATTTGCATTTGCCTAATATTATATATTAATTTTACATAACATTTTAAATTATATTTTTTTGCTATTTATTTTCATCATTAATATTACCATTTATTTAAAGTTATTTTTGAAGATATTAAATTATTTATATTATAGTATGTGCATTCAGATCAATATTACATGAGCCACTGTAAATTTAATTGCTAACATGATTTTATACTACAAATTTCTTGCTATCTGCATACGTCTAGATGTGTAGTGTTATACTGCATGTTGGTGAAGGCCATTAACTTCACCATCACATTGTCCGGCCTACACTCCTAATGTGTTGGCTTTGAATTGAAGAAAGTTCAACATCATGTTACATGTTGATTTTTAGTTTTAGCAATATACTCCATGTTGCTAAAAGCCTCATCCTTTCAGCAACTTACTGTATGTTGCTAGAGGCTATCCCAAATTCCCAAAAATACCAGATCCTGCAAAATCACCATTTCACATGAGCACTAATGAAATAAGTATTCTGTATTAGCCTCCCCCTTAAAACAACAAGGATATATTTCCTCCCATCTACTAGTCATCTTTCTCCCACAATTTTTTGCATTCCCACCACCAAATTAAAGCAGTAAAGAAGTATTTTTGCAAAGATCTTTCTTTTTTTTTTCTTTTTTTTTTTTTTTTTTTTAAGGTTAGTTTGGTTTGTTCCTCTTGTTTCCTTCTCTTTGATCCATTTTTTGTGCAACTCCCCATCTCTAAACCCTTTTTCTCTTTTAGTTTCTTAAATTTACGTTTTTTTGTGAATGCAAACAAGAACTATCGCTACTGCACCTTAATCTTGTAATAATATCACGTGATCTGCTAAGTATAATAAATTCTATTATGTTTTATGATTTTCTACAATATTTTGACATACATTCTAGTTGTATTCTCATGATTATCATTTATTTTTCTACTCGTTATATTTTTAGTTATATATTATAACATCAACTTTACTACTTTGCAGGCGTCATATTTCCAATTGATCTTCTATTCCTTTTCAAGAGTAAGTTGTATTTCTATTTATTTTCCCCTCCCAACTTTATTATATATTAATTTTTGTTTATATAGTAGAGTTTTCATTTGTATAAGTAACGATTTAGAACTACATTTTGTTAATCATTTTACATAATTATAGTACAAAAATAACATATAAAATAATAGTCAATACAATTAATATTATATTATAATCATAAAAAAATATTACAATATAGAAATAAGATAAGTAAACTAAGAAATGAAAATTTAAATATAATTTATATACAAAAAATAAAAAGTTTATAAATATATTCTATTTTTATTTTACCAAAAATTCTAAAAAATAATTTATCAAAAATATAGAAGTAAAATTATAATATTATGTAATTAAGGAATCTTGTAATTGAGTGGATTAGTTGATTTGAAGGTAAAATCACAAACCAAATCAATTGTATTAGTTTTATAATTTTATAATGCAATCAAACCCAAGTTGATGTTGGTTTGGAATGGATTTTAATTGAACTAGATTAGTATTGATCAGATTAATCAGTCTATATTGGATATGAACAACCCTATTGAACTGGTTAAACCAAACTCGTTGATGAAAATGGATTAGTTATTGGGTCAAGTTTTAAGTCATTGGTTAACATACCAACTCAGCCCCTCAACATTTTAATTTTCACAAAATCTCTCCTTCAACTTAAAAAAGCACCAAATATGTTATTAAAATTTAATTTTATGCGTCAATTTCTTTCATATGTCTGTTATATGATGACATGCGCAAGTTTTCCATTAATATTTTCCTTGACGACTCATAACAACACTTATGGAAGGATGAAATTCGTATAAAAAATTTAAGTTTACAAACAATTTTGGTACTTTTAAAATTTTATGGAAAGATTTCATACAAATCAAAAAGTTGAGGGACCAGCTTGGTACTTCAACCTATATATCAATATCATTAATTGAAGGACACAATGAACATATATATAATATTAGTGAATGGACACTATAACCAAAATTAATGAATTATAATGGTAACTTTTTTTGATTTCATGTAGCTCTAATTGATATTTATCACGGTTCATTCCCTACTATATATTGTATGAATTATTCTAATTAACAACAAATATTAATTTATAATTACTAAGAATACCTCACTTATTCATTTAAAGATGTTAGATACTAGTTGTTGGATGTACAGATGATGAGGTTCTTGTGGAAATTGTGATGATGAATTCCTTAATGGATTAGTGCAATTTTTTGACTTTGTTTATAGTCATCTTGGTGTGAAGCTGAACGACAATATTCGTTGTCCTTGTAGTAAATGTAAGAATTTACCTCACCATGACAAGGTAAATGTATGGAAGCATCTTGTTAACCATGGTTTCGTGGATGCATATTTTGTTTGGTGGGTACATGGTAAAACATTAGATACAAATATTGATCCATGGTCAGTCGTACGTGATGTAGCATCCTTAAGTAATAAAGAGGAACATGTTGACTATAAGGATGATTTCCATGATATGGTGTATGATGCATTCTATCCATCTGAGAACTATCACCCAACAATTGAAACAGACTTTCCAAAGCAAACTGTGGGGTATGATCCAAATAGACATGCATAAGCATTTTATGACTTGTTACGTGCTTCAACCATCTCTCTTGGACCCCCATCTAATGATCATATTGTGCTTGGTTGGTTAGATTATGTTGCACACTAAATCCAAAAACAACCTAACTAGTGTTGGTTTCAATGAAATCATTCATGGATGCAAGCAATTGTTAAGTCTTGAAGATCAAGAAAAGGTACCTGCAAATTTTTATGAAGCAAAAATTCATGAAAGGCCTCCGTTTAGGTTATGTCAAAATTGATGCATGTGTGAACAATTGCTTTCTATTTTACTAGGAGCAAGCCAAGTCCCTTACTGCTTGTCTAGTTTGTGGTGAATCTAAGTATAAAACACGAAACCTAGCACAATAGTGAAAAAAAGATAGTCCAAGGAATTCTTTATGGTATCTTCCAATAATTCCATGCCTCCAAAGGCTGTGTTTGTCTCATAAAACAGCTAAGCATATAACATGGCACCTTAAATGTCATGTTAACTCTAAGGGCCTTATTCATCCAACTCAGTTTGCTACATTTAAGCACTTTGATCAAGTTCATCCTTCATTTGCATGTGATCCATGAAATGTTCATCTTAACCTTGTGATAGACAAGTTCAACCCGTGGAGTCACTCTTCCACATCTTACTTGTGTTAGCCTGTTTTCATCATCACTTATAATCTTCCTCCTAAGATGTGCGTGCAACTTGAGTTTACCTTCTTTACACTTGTTATTTTTGCACAAAAAAATATTGATGTGTTCACCTATTCATTGATTGATGACTTGAAATAGTTATGGTCCTCTAATGTACAACCACAGTAGCTTTTGTAAATAAGACTTCCTAATGCAAGCCATGCTCCGACCATAATGGATTTCCCTAGCTATGGAATGGTTTCTAGTTGGAGCACACATGGTTGTTTGTCTTGTCCATTTTGCATGGAAATAACTCATGCATTTTACTTGCAACATTATCTTAAAATCTTCTTTGTTGACTATCAGTGATAGTTTTCTCCTCCAACATGCCCGTTCAAAATGGATTCAATTAACTTCTATAAGGGTTGCTTAGAATTTGGGCTTTGCCCTCCGCGGTTAGATGGTCAATTAGTTCGACATCGAGTTGCCACACTTCTTGCAATTTTGTTTAGAAATTCATTTGTTAACCAAACTATTCCCGAGTTTGGTGAAGCCCACAACTGGGTCAAGAGGAGTATATCTTTTGGGAAATTCCTTGCTGGGTGGATAATTTGATCAAACACAATTTTGATGTCATGCACTATGTGAAGAGCTTTTTTGATAGCATCATTCACGCTATTATGGTTGACCCATTAACAAAAGACACTATTAAGTCTAGAATGGATTTACCACTATATTGTGATAGGAAACAACTACACTTGTATTACCATAGTTCTAGCATGCTTTGTAAATCAAATGCGAGTTATGCACTTAATGCACAGCAAAAAAGACTTTTATGTACGTGGCTCAAACCTTTGTGCTTTCTAGATGGTTTTGCCTCAAACATCTTATATTGTGTCAACTTAAATGAGTTGCACTTAGTTGATTTAAAGAGTCACAACTACCATGACTACCACAACTACCACGACCACCACGTATTCATGCAATGCCTCATTCTAATTACTTTTTGTGGCCTTTCATTGGATTCCATATGGGGTTCATTAACGGAAGTTAGGAATTTCCTCTAAACACTATGTTCCCCTATTGTCAACATACAATGCAAGGTGGTTTGGGAGACAAAAATTGTTAAAACAATATGTGAGTTGGAAAGAATTTTCCTGCTGTCTTTTTTGGATTGTATAAAGCATCTCACAATCTATCTTCCTTTCAAGGCACGAATAGGTGGTCCTGTTCAATTTCGCTTGATATACCTATTCAAAAGGCAATAGGAACCTATTTGCACTGATTTCCTATATTATGAAATATGGAACCATTTTCTATTATGAATGATTTAATTCAAAGTTTACAGATATATGTATATATGTGGAAGCTTAAACAAACAATTGGGAACAAAAATCATGTTGAGGCATCTATTGTTGAATCATTCATCTTATACGAAATAACACATTTTTGCTTGTGTTATTTTGGTGAGGATGTTGAAACAAGTTGGAATCAACCCCAAGGAACTTTGCTAGAGCTCCAAATTCTAAGGACTAATAATTCTCTATCTTTTTGTGCCTTAGGCAACCGATAGGTTCACATTATGCAGACTACTAAAATTTATGTCCTGCTAAACCACAAGGAAGATGATGACTTTCTCAAGTTAGATATGCCAAAACTCAACTCTTATCTTACATATTTTCAGATAATGTTTTCTTAATTATTGCACCAAATTTTGGTCCTAATTAACATATGTATATATTTTAGCATCTTTGATCAAGAAGTTGATGCAAATATGACCCTTGTTGAGCTACAAGAAGCACACACAAAAGGTTTTGTTATGTGGTTCAAAAATAGGGTAAACAATATTTCTTCATCATATTAAGTTGTTTCTAATATAACTATATCCCTATAAATATATAGTGTTATACAATATATTAACTACCTTATTTAGTTATACAAAATATTCATTTTATTCGGCATTTAAACATTTCACATATAACTTGTACATAAACATTTGATAGGTGTTAAGTAGTTGTTATGAAGTGAACAAAGTTTTGCACTACCTTATATTGGGGCCAACATGGAATGTGAATGTGTACACCAATTATTACATCAATGGTTTTAGATTTATGGCACAAGAGGTGAGTAGTTCACAACAAATGTATAATTGTAGTATATGTGTGAAAGGAACAACCATAAATGATGAGGTCAAGATTGATTATTATGGTATTATTAACGAAGCAATTGAGCTACTTTATTATGAACCACATGGGCGCTTAAAGATAATTGTCTTATTCAACTATGATTGATTAGATACAAATAGAAGAACACTTGTCAACCAAGTTTACAACCTTGTTGATGTAAACCCATGGTACAAATTGTCGACTAGTGAGCCATTTTGCTTGGCAAGCCAAGCAACACAAGTGTATTACACTAGTTACCCATCAAACGAGTGAGCAACTTGTAAGTGGTTTGCAGCATCTAAAATATAGGCTAAACATTTGATTGACACTTCTTCAACCTCAATTGAGATAGATGAAATATTCCAAGATGATGAGCCACTATCCATGCAATCAAATGAGCATAGTTTTGAGATGGTATCAATGGAACCCATGGAGTTGCATGCAAGAGGTGCAACAGTGGTTAATATAAATGGATTTGGAGATGATGATGGTGATAAAAATGTGAATGAAGGAAATGAATCATTGGGAGATGTTGATGCCGATAATAGCGATATAGGATAGTAGTTTACATATTAAGAACATGTTATGTAATAGTTGAACAATTTGTTATTATAAAAAAGTACTCTTGTATGTGGGACTTCCTATTTAACAAATAAGCTTTTTAATGACTGTTAACATTTTCTCTTTTTTTTTTTTTTTTTTTGTTTCATTGTCATTGTATAAAATGCTGTAAATGCTTATAATAAAAAATAATAATATTATGAAAATATATGTTTTTGATAACATAAGTACTAACCTATTTTACTTTTCCATATGTTTTGCAGAATATCAATTGGCCCTACTAACTCAGAACGTAGTCACAACACATTTGGGAAATGATCTAGTGCAACCACAGTAGATCTAGCATGTGATGCTACAGTAGAGATGGATGTAGGTCATATACAGTTTATTAGTCCATAGGCTTTTATTCATGCTACGGCTTATCTCATCATGAGAGTACAAAGGGAAGAGGTTCGAAAAAAAAGAAAGAAGCCTACAAAAACACGAAAGGAGACACCTATTATAAAACTTTTAGATAAAGGTAAATTATTGGATGTAGAAGTCCCAAGAATGATTATGACCTTGTGGAAGAGGGTGTACGATGGTGATTACTTCACTTATGAGATGTTCCCACAACAAAAGAAGGTGTAACTGTGAGAGTTGTTTAAGGTAAGAATAAATGTCATTTTGTAGACAATCCATGCATTGAATACTATATGATTAATTTTTGAAGAATTAAAATCAATAAAAGAAAATTCATCATATGAATAACTTTAATTAAAGGCATAAAAATCACAAAAATCACAAATATTTGTAGTAGATTCACTAGGCTATAGCGTAGTATTAACAAGCTAAATTAATTCATAATAAAAATAGTAAAACTTAAAATCATAGTTATGAACATAAGAATATCACATAACAAATAAATATAATATATAAAAAAACAACAACTAATTCAAAGATGTTAAAATCCTTGATATTTTATTATTGATGAAATACTTGTTGCCTCTATTGCGATCTCCAATAGTGGCCCAAGATATGATCTTTGAATGAGTATTTATAGGACTTTACAAAACCAAATTAGAATAAAAGTGGGACTCATAACAAACCAACAAAGTGGGTTGCATAGAAGTTGAAAAGTTGACACAGTTAAGAAAGTGTCGACACGTTGACCAAGTAAATGTGCCTACATTGTCCCTATCGGGATTTTGGCCCAAAATGCAATTTAGGTTGTGATTTGGTAAAACTATTCTGGTCCTTCATAAGTCATCAAATGACACATTCTTACAATTATGATTTGTTGAATATGGCCTTAAAAGTTCTAATTTCTTTCAATTACATCTTCATACTAAAGGAATGGTAATTATATAAAATTCAAGTAAAATCTCATACAACTCATTAAATTATCAACAACACCAAGGTAGAAATTCATTATTATTATATTTAAAAGTCAAATATATCAGTTAGTATTAAAAAGGAGAAAATTGGCAAATTTGGCAAAATTAAATGCATAAAAGGCAAAGTAGGCAAACTGAAATGGGATAATGTGTACATAATGTGTTATTGTGGTACAAGTTATTAATGCACCTAATTTTTTTTTTTTTTTTGGTTAGAGGCAAAATATCAATGGGCTACAAAGGATGAAGATGCAATGGGAAAGGCTTTCATAAATTCCATAAGGAAAAAATAGGGGGATAACATGAAGGATGAGTAGGATAAATGAAGGGTGAACAATGAATACAAACCAATATGGGTGCTTGAGTACCTATGGCTAAACTTTTATGCATATTGGGATTTTGATGTGTTTGCTAGTCTTAGTGAGTGGTGGAAAAAAAATTAGGCGTTTGGGGAGAGGGTGTTGCACACTACAGGATTTGTCAGTTTCGGTGTATATAAGGAAAGGATGGTAAGCAAGAATAAAAAATATATATCTATATTATAGATTATGTACAAAAATAATTGTAGTTTCTTTATAATTATATCTTACCTATACATATAAATGAGTTGTTAATTGCTTTATTATGGTTGTCACAAACAGACAAAAGCTATCGGGGGATAAGGCCCACCCTTAAGAACTATACAAGGAAACACACACATTGCGGAAAAGTGTACCCCATGGCTAAGAATCTCCCTTTGGTGTGGTGAGAAACACAAAGTTCATCATATAAGTGGAAAGATAGTAGATAAGATACAACATGAGTAATGTGGATTGTTAATAAAAGTGAATGCATGGTATAATAAATTGCTAACAGAGTTAAATAAAATCTATTACAAATTTTGCATGAGTAGGTATTATAGAGTAACAAAAGTTTGTATATTGAAAGTGAAAACAACATAACATGGAAATTGAATATTAATGTAGCTAGTAAAAGATAAGTGATTTATAGTAAGGTATGGTACATGGTTATCATGTTTATTTAAATATTAATGGTTACATAAGTCAACATTGTTGTATTTATAAATCATTTATGAATTTATACTAATTATTTGTGGATTTTTGTGCAATACTTTTTGCAAGAGACATATCTATCTGAGTGATTAGCTACATATGGGTCAAATTCAACTTCTTGGCTGCCAAGGGAACACCAAGCATGGTCTATTGCTGTTTGGGGGGGGGGGAGGCACAGCAATTTCATGCTTGGCATTAGTTCATAGGTGAACCTAAAGGACCTTGGGTTTACTTATAGGAATCGACAACCAAAGGGAAATTCATATGTAGTTTGATATTATCTAACCTGGCAAAAAAACAAGTAAAGGATAAGGAGGCAAAGGAAATGATGGGGAAGGAAATAGACCATATGAGGAAGGAAAGAGAAGCAATGCAATGCATGATGGAAGAGATGGGAAGGATGCAAACTACTTTGTTGCAACAATTTGTTGTTTTTAACGCCTATGGGGTGTGCGCCTTATTGCTCGGCCATCATTTCCTATTGTTGGGCAATCATTTCCTCCTACTATGCCTATGTAGATCCCGATGGTACCTGGAATCCCCATAGGCCATATAGGGAGACATTTGAATCAAATGAGACATCCCCAGTCAATCCTTCACAAGATGATTATGTTTACAGGTTGAGATTTGATTCAGAGCACCTAGGTTTATTTGGTCTCAAATGATGATTGTGCATGAGTTTGAATACTTAGACCATGTTGTGTTCTGGCTTGTTGATGGAAATACTTTGGGTCTTGAATGGGTTATTTTAATTTTTTGGACATGGTTGTACATATATGTTGGGAGTGAATGGTTTGGAGGAACATTAATTGAATTGCTATGAATTGCCAATCTAGAACATGTAAATGGTCATATTACATGCAAAATGTGGTAATTATATAATTAAATATTCATTTATGATAAGGTAAAGGGGGAATAATATCAATGCAAATTAAATGGTCATATTACATGCAAAATGTGGTAATTATATAATTAAATTTTCATTTATGATTAGGTAAAGGGGGAATAATATCAATGCACATTATCGGTTATTGGATCAATTGGAAAATAGGTTGCTATAATGAACGACTGTGCGGCTAGGGTAATATCAATGTGCAAGAAGACTTAAAGCAAATTCTGGGGATGAAGCAGTATTAAGGGTCACTAATGAAAGGCATGTTGTTGAAGTATAAACTAACAAGGTTAAAACCCCTTTTTTGGTTGTTGAAGTATAAACTAACAAGGTTAAAACCCCTTTTTTGGTCAATATAATTTGATGAAAAGTATTAAAATCCCAGTGATTTTGATGATAAAAAAAACCCTTAAGATGTTTAATGAATTTGCGTTTACGCATGTAGTTAAAAAGTCCTATAATGCATCAAAGTATAATCTGAAAAATTGTAGAACTGGGTTAAGCCTATATTCAACTGTTAAGGCAAGAAGATTCGAATCTTAATTGCAAATTCAACTCTAGAGTAAAATATCGAGAATATGTGCATCTAGTTAAGACTCAAATCTAAGAAGCTATATTCGACTATTGGGGAATCCAAATTCGACTCTAGAAACTCAAGATTCAACTCCCAAATTCCAAAGAGTTAAGTAATTTGTGGTGGAGGGCATAGTTGACTCTCCATTTAAAGGATCGACTCATGGCACTAAAGATTCGACTGTTGGCATGAAGAAGGAAAAGTTGACTTAGTCACATCATTTTTTAAAGCATCAACTCTTCATTATCCTTCATTGTCCTCCCTTCTCATTAGCAAATTCTCATACATATCATTAATTCAATTTGCATCAATTCATTCACTTCATGATTCTCTTCAATTATATGTTGTGATTTGATTTTATTTAATATTGTAGTAAATACTAAGTGATTAAGTTTGTTTCAATTTATTTTAAAGTTAAAGATATTATAAATAACTATACATATAGTAATTAACATTTTCACTATTTTGTGTTTGTTTTGTAGGTCATTCTCATTAAAGTTATAAATTAAAGTATGCTTGTCACACCCTAGAACCCAAATCCGGGGACGTGGCAAACATCGTACACTCGTAAGAGGGTCCCACAAATGCACAAATCTCATAACTTAATCATACCACAATCTAATACCACAAAATCTGAAGATAAAATTATAAAATTTGCTTTGATATCATAAAATCTCCAAATAAAGTCTAGCTTACAAGATCATGATTTATATCTAAAATCTATGTTCAATTTACAAAATGGCTAGCCGTCTAACTCGTCACACCCCTCGGTTTTCCTCGCCCTTGACTTCGCTTTCTAAAATGGTGGACAAGGAAAAACTATGAGATAATTCAGTAAGTAAATATGGATAGCCCTTAATTAAACTTGTAGCATGCCAACAAGTATAATCACAAAAAAAAACAAGTACGAGTATGAAAATGAAATAAACATCTCCTTTATAGGTCATGGCCAGTGTTATAAACCTTCCACTAGCAGGCACATGATTTACTAGTGTATAATCCCACTAGCAGGATAACAGTATAACAGAAACGAACCGGTTCTATCAGTAACATGTCGACATGTGCTAGCGTTTATAAACCTCCAACTAGCGAGCACACGAATAACATGACCATATCGAAGACAAAACAGGCAGAAGTTAACAAGAAAATCATAATTTACAAATAATTTCCAGATCATCAGGGCAGTTAAGTAAACTCCAAGAAGGCATGCTCAAATCAATAAAAAGAATAATAATTTCATTTTAAATCGATCATACTTGTGTAAAACGGGTTTAGTCCCGCCACCACTTCAAAAACAAGCTAAAATATGCTTTAAAATCAGAGGGTGTTACCATAATTTACTTACCTCAAATCGCATAAACCGAAGACTCAATCCAAGTGCTAGGATGACAGAATAATCAAGAACCTAACCAAAACATCCAAGAATTAATTCTATAAGCAATTTCATTTATTTATTTTTTTTCTTATTTTTCTTCTTTCCGAATTTGAGCATTAACCCGGATTGGGTATATATATATATATACACAAATAAATACATATATATATATATATATATTGCTTCCCCAAACTCATGGACAATAATGGGGAACAAGGCTTTTATTTCCATTTTTTTCCTTTTCCTTTTTTTTTTTTTCGGACATCACAGCAGCCAAACCCACAAATTTTCCTACATAAACCATCAACCAAAACCCATTCTCAGGTTGCCGAAATTCTCCCTATTTCAACAGAATTTTCGGACAGCACAAGGGGTAGCACTAAGTGGATTAAACTTCAACAAGCAATAAGTAAATGGGTAATTTCGAACTTAGAGAAGTGGCCATCATACCAGAATTTTCAGCAAGCAATTTCGGAACTGGCGGACCAGGAAGGCTAACGGAAAATTGGAGGGGCTTTCACACCACTACCCAAAAATTGAAAGAAACCAAAAGGGATTAAAGTGCACCCAAGCCAAATTAAGGCTGGAAAGATGAAGTTCATGTTGTTTCCTTACCAGAAAAACCGAATCCACTACCCACAGCAGCAACCGACGGCAAAGGAGGGAGAAGGCAACAGCAGATTTGAAAATTTCCTTGTTTTAGGGAGAGTTCTAGGTCCTAAGATTTGTGATTGAACAAGAAAAGAAGGAAAAAAACCCAAGTCTTACCGATTTTTCTTCAAGGGAGGGCTGTCGGCAGCTTGCTTCTTGTTCGGCTGTAGGGGAGAAAAAGGAAGAGCAGAAATGCGCAAAGGGTTGGGGAAGAAAGAAGGAAAAAAAAATTGCTGATCTTTATCGAAATCCTTTTCTCTTTTAAGTCCCTCAAGTTTGGATATTTTAGCTAACAGGCCCCAAACAATATTTTTTCCAAAATAAGTCCCTAACTTAAATGATAAAATTCCCAAAATTTTGGGATATTACAATGCTAAACTCCCTAAGCCCATATTAATTAGTTTGAATTGTTTAATTTAAATGTATTTAGTTAACAATGTATATATGGTCAATATATATTAATTATTCAATTATAATTATTTTTTATAGGTACAATTTATTATATTGTATGTGAGCTATTATGTTTACATATTGAAACTAATGAATAATTATTGATGATTTTGTAGAGAAATGGATATTTCATCACATTACTTTTGGGATGGTCACTTAAAGGTATATATTTGTATGTGTGTGTATATATATATATTTGTATCATAAGATTCATTTGATTTTGGAAAAAAATATGATAGTATAATTAAATAAATAATTATGCATTTTTATACTTTTATAGTATTATTGTTTGTTTTAGTAAGAATAGCATGAAATTATATGAGATATATGGAATGAGTATCAATAAATTTTTTTAAATGTTAGTGGAATTGAGGTTAGTGGTGATGGAATAGGTTTAGTAAAATAAAATATTGATAGAATTAGGAATTTATTGAAGTATTGTTTAAGGATTATATGGCTAGACTATTGGT